GGGAGGGGGAGGGGGAGGGGGAGGGAGAGGGAGAGGGAGAGGGATAGATGGAGGAGGTTGTTTCTTTTGCTTTTGTTGCTGTTGTTGTTGGTGTTGCTCATTTACTCTCTCTCGTTCTACTTGTACTCCGACTAGGCCGCCTTCTACTACGCCTACATACTACCGACCACAGGCCTACCAAGACCATGTCTACTCCTGTTGCTGCTACGGCTGCTGGGACTATCATTGCACACCTGCAGCTTATTGCTTTTGGACAGATTTCAGGGGCTGCCACGCTCTGGTGTGGACAAGGCCTGCCTGGATGGCCGCGGAAGAGTGCAGCGCATGCCCGCAGCGCCTGAAACACAGAGGCGCGTCGAGAAAGGCCGTCAGTCGAGTATCTGACGTGGACTCTGGTTTGCCTCTTGGGGCTGCTGCCGCTGATTGGCCTCGCCCGGCCAGACGACAATCTTGTGCAGTTGCGGGCCATGAAACTTTGTCCACCACGCCGCGCACTCAGACTCAGCAACGGTTCACCAGCGCCCTTTGGCCTGTCCTCGACGGCTTCTTGCACTCGCTGCCGCTGCCGCTGCTGCTGCCGGGCCTGCTGGACGGGCGAGCCAAGTACGCTTGAGCGCCCTTGTTGGAGCGCGTGTCAGACTGCCACACGACGGGGGCATAATACTGCGTAGAGCATTGATTGCCACTAGCCCACATGTGCTGCAAATAGACAAGTCGCCAGTGAGATGCACTCCCTACTGTGTACATACTCATGGCCAGTGACATGCTGCGGGCCCTGCGAACTGCCGCCGGCCATCAATCGCATACTTTACTTACTTGCGGACATACTTAGACTACCCATACGCGCTCGCTATCATCATCGTCGTCGTCGTCGCTCCCAGACCCGAGTCAGGCTCAGCCGCTGTCCCCTGTCCGCCCGAATCGCCCATGGCCCATGGCCCATGGCCCATTGCTCATTGCACACTGCAGCACATCGCTCATCACCCGTCGCGTCCACTTGCGTCCATTTGCGTGCCGCCCATCCATCCCCACCGACCGTTGCGGCAACCCTCCCCAACAACGGTCCTTGAAACAAAATGCCCCGGCACGCATAATTGCATTAGCCCAGCCAATGATTCATACTGTCTCATGGAACGATTCTGGAAGACACGTCGCCCTTCCAAATTCAGCACGTTGGGCCTCAGGCTCTAGCCGTGAGTGATCGCTGCTCGCTTGCACCTTCCCTGCCAACCCTCGTGTCTGCCTTTCACCTCACCACCCATAATGTCTGAGGCCGCGTCCAACATCGCCATGCAACACGCCCCACCACCCTCTTCTCCTCGCGACCCGTCTCCACATTCCGACAATGACAGCGACCATGAGGCCCCCGCCGAGCTCATGGTCACGACGCGTGCCCGCCGATCCAATGCCGGCAACCGCATGTCCACTCTGCTTGCGCAATCCGCAGAGGACGAGCAATGGGGCGAGGAATGGGACGAGGCCCCCGACGAGGAGGAGTTCCAAGGCGACCAGGTAGATGAGTACGACGACTACAACCTAGATTCGTCATCCTCGGAAGACGAAGATGGCGGCGCCGATGACGATGACGACGCGGGCGAGAAGGAGTTGCGCCGGGCCGAGCGACAGGAAAGGAACAAGAAGCGCAAAGCCGCCACAAATCCCTTTGCTGCGAGAAGCGCCGCCGCTGCCCACAAGAGAGTCAAGCTTGACGTCCCCCGCACCCAGTCTCCTTCGCATGCCCCGCCACGGCCCAAGAAGAAGTCGGAACGCGCATCATGGCTGCCCACCGAAGAGGACGGCCCCGTCCGAATGTCCAACCGGAAGCAGACAGTCGCCAACAAGGACGCCACCCTGGCAAAGCTCAAGGAGAAGGACCGCCGGCGGGATGATACTCTGGCCATGATGAAGGCTGCTGAGGCGCGAAAACTAAAGGCCAAGGAGAAGCCTCTGACGCAAGCTGAAAGGCTCGCTGAAGCCGCCCGCAACGAGCGCATAAATAAAAAGACACTGCACAGGTGGGAGGAGGCCGAAGAGGCAAGGGCAGCTGAGAGACAGGCCAAAATAGACGCCCTAAAGAACCGCCAGATCGATGGGCCCTTTTATCGCTACTACAGTGGGCAGGGCATTTGGGTGGATGACAAGCTCAAGTACACGGGCAAAGACGCGCCAACCCCAGAGCAACTTGAAGAAAAATTCAACAAGGAGATCGAGGCTGCAGAAGCGGCGGCCATCGCTCAACCAGAGTCCGAAGCAGGCCAAACAAACCCCCCTACACAAAACCCTACACAACCATCTGAAAACCATATAGAGGACAGTCAACCGGTCTTCGGCCCCCTAGCCCAAATCCAGTCGCCAATGAGGACATCTCATACGCCTCCAATACCCACGACGTTACCAGTGCAGCAAGAGTCCCTACAGTTGCCGTGGACAGCAGCAGCATCTCAAAGCGGAGATGTTTTTATGGGTTCCCACGGCATGTCAATGGCAAGCAATGTCATGTTCGCGCCCACTAGCCAAGATTCGTCATTCCTCTTCGGCATTGACCAATTTGCTCAAAACCAACAACCCCAGACACTGCCTGGTGATCTCCCACCGAATCCTTTTACTCAAGCATCGCCATTCCAACAGCAACAGCCAACTCCACAGCCCTCGTTCTCACAAACACCGCACCCCCCGCTCAACGACCCTTCAATACCACAAAGCAACGGCAACCCATCAATCGGCCCCGAAGATATGCTTGCTCAATTCCAAAAGCCTACCTTGCCGCCTGCACCACTGCGCCGCAAAACCATCCGCCGAGCTCTCAGAAATCTGATCACCCTCTCCAATTTCCCCAACCTCGAAGCACCAGCCCAAACATCTTCAAGAGCAAGAACTAGTGCTTCGCTTCTCAAGGAAAAGGACAAATCAGCACTGGTACAGCTTTATACGGCACTCTTCGACTGGACTCCTACAGAAGCTGCAAACTACATCCAACAAACACTCATTGCACCCCCAAAGCAACCCAGAAAGAATGCCGCGCAAAAGGCAGATGCAGAACTGGCGCTCAAGCCAGGCCAAAAGCTATGTCCCATCACCAACACAATCGCCCGATACCGCGATCCAGAAACAGGCATCGCATACCGGGACGCGCGTGCCTTTGGCGTGCTCCGCGGCGTCGTGGGCGGTGGCTTCGTATGGAGCGGTGATCTGGGCTGTTATGTAGGCGGCCGAGCGAAGCCATTGGAGAGTATGGGCGGCAAAGGGTTTCTAGGCATGCCACCCGCTAAGAATGTGCCGAGACGCTTTTGGGAAATGTCGAGCCCCAGGTCCGGAAAGAAGAATATGCAGCCTCCTCCGCCGACGCCTACGCCAGGGAAAACGCCGGGAAAAACACCAACTGCAGATGGGGCTGCGAGAGAGCAGGGACAGGTGCAGACGCCGGTTCAAGGGCGCGCACAGGGACAGCCGATGAGTGAGGCACAGCGAGGTGCAGGTACGACACCAGTGATGGGTGTACAGCAACAACCACAACCACAACAACAGAGTACAGCCCCAATGAAGACCGAAGCTAGTGGTGCTCCGTCGTAAAAGGAACAAGTAGAAAGGAAGAAGAAGAAGAAAAGTAGAAAAATTCTTAGTCTGTATTATATAGGTTTGCTCACAGTAGCATCAACATCACAATGATATAATAAATCACCTTTTGTGACAGCCCCCACAAAAAAATGATAACAAACACATATGCAAAGTGACACCCGAGCATAGTGACACACACACAAAGAAACGGGAGGGGGTTAGGGCCAGGTGACGAATCAATTGGGGGATCGTAAAGTCCATGATATGCATTGATGGTTAACAGACAAATTCTCATCTCAAACGCCATCCGTCTTGTCGTGTCCATCCGCAACGAGTTTTCCAGGCAATGGGTAGAATAAACATGACCCATGCCCCCCCATATGCCCGCAGACGCAACTCCGTTCCCACCATGATGAAGAAACCGCAGCAGGCGGAACAGTAGTAGTTTTCCCAGAGAGAGAGAAACCGCCACTCTCGACCCCCCAACAATGACTTTTTTTGTACTACCAAGTCATCATCATCATCCTCATCCTCATCAGCAGCAGCCTACTCCAGCCGCTTATTTCTTCTCCTTCTTCGCGCCACCCTTGGCCTTGGCTGTGCCTCGGAAAGTCTTCATCCTGTTCTTGCGTTGCTTGCCTGTTTGCCCTAGTCAGTATATTCATTGTCCTTTTTTTCATCTCTCATTTTTTCTTCTAAACCCCCCTGGGGCCTTTTTATGCTTCATAGAAACCATTGCTTGATCCGCAAGAAGACCATGTAGGGTATCGGCAAGGGAAACGTACGCTGCTGCCTGCTGGCCTTCTCGACCTTGGTGGCCATGCCGTATCGTACTAGCCTGTAGCGGGGCTCGAACTTCTTCATGGCCTCGGCACTGTCGTAGATGAGAGCGAAGCCGGTGCTCTTGCCACCACCAAAGTGTGTCTTGAAACCGAAGACGGAGACATCTTCCTTCTTGGCCTTGTACAGCTCACCAAGCTTGCCACGGAGCTCGTCCTTGGAAACGTTTGCGCGGTTGGGGTGGAGGACGTCGCTGTACACAATTCCCGTCAGACTCAATCAATTCCCTTTTTCCACAATCACCTTGTCCGGTGTAATAGCTATTTTTTTTTCGGTGTCGTTGAACTTACACGACCATCTGACGGCGTCCGAGAAGAGGGTTGCGGATGAACTTGCGCGTGCGCAGGGTAACTTGAGAGTCGGCCATGATGGATAAGTTCGACCTGCAGCGACGGCTGTTAGATGTCGGTTCACAAACGACGGTAGGACGAGCAGGCTTGCAAGTTGCACGTACTGGACAGAGATCGATCCTGCTGTTTGTCGATTCGCTGTGGTTAGTAGCTGGCGGCGGGATAGAGATGTCGAATTTGCGGTGCGTCGTGTCGGCGGTCGGCGGTGCGCCTGCCTCGCTTAGACTGCCAAGACGCCCCGCTGCAAAATTAGGTAAGCAGTCCAAGGGCAGGAACACGACTGCTGATTGTCACCCATGAGCCTGCATGTCTTTTACACTTGGCGCTGAACTAGTTAAACTTTCAAAAAGGCTATTCAGACTATTCTCAACGCTACCCCCGCTATGGAAAACCCTGAACAGCTGGCGCAGTTGCGCGTCCTGCAACGCCAGTACTTCCAACTGGTCGAGCCACAACAGCTGAGATGGCCGGACAATGCAACCTTGAAGAGGTCCCTGGTGCAGGCATGGCTGTTCGGCAACTTGTTCGACCCGTCCAAGATTTCCTCGCCACCACCGGCTCGCTACCAGCTTAGGGTTCTGAAGGAACTTGTCGGGAAACTCGAGCGGTCCATGACAGACCCTGAGGAGGATGTATGGTCTCCTATCTCTTCACTGCGGTTCCTGCATTTGCTGTGTACAGCCATGTACCATACCAAAAGATACTTCATGTGCAGGAATCAACCTGTCGCAGCATCCGCTGACTTGCCCCTCCTACCTTGTTATAGGAAATCTCAGATGATATCATGGAAGCAATGACAACTTTACTCGTGGCCAGCTTACCTTCTGAAACGGATGCCGCTCAGCAGAAAGCTTTTGTGACGTACTCGTTCCCACAACATTCGACTGACAACAGCGATTCCGGTGAGCGTGCTGTAACGCTATTGGAGGCCCGTTCCGTCATTTCTTCGTCTGGAACGACGGGTCTGCGAACATGGGAAGCCGCTTTACTGCTTGGATCCTACCTTGCATCCGAGCATGGCCACGTGTTCATCAATCAGAAACGGGTGTTTGAACTTGGTGCGGGGACGGGTATGCTATCCATACTGTGTGCGAAGCATCTGAGTGTGGCTGGTATCGTGGCCACGGATGGCGATGAGGCGGTGGTGGATGCGATCAAGACCAATCTCTTTCTGAACGGACTCGATGTCGATGACGAGTCTGGTTGTCAAGTGCGTACGGCAGCACTCAAGTGGGGCTATCCAGTCGACGCAACAACATTTTCAGAAGACTACGGAATGGAGGTTCCAGACATTGTAATAGGAGCGGATGTGGTAAGCTACCATAACGGCGGTGTCGCGGAGAAGTGGGTTTGACAGCGCGGCAGACCTATGACAAGTCGGTGATTCCACGCTTGGTTTCGACTTTGAGAGAATTCTTCGACCTGAACCCGGCGCTCCTAGTTTTTATTTCTGCGACCATCCGCAACGAGCAGACGTTCGAGACTTTCTTGAAAGCGTGTGGTGGGTCTCCCTGCGTGATATTATGCGGTCGGGGTTACGACATTGGGTGCGGTGTTTGCTGACTTTTGTGGGGTAGAGCGGAACAGGTTCAGTTTGGAACGGCTTGAATGGCGGCTGGTGCCTGAGCATGTCCAGGAAGGCCCGTTTTATCCGACATCCACGCCGATCCAGATCTGGAGGATTGCAATCGGGCAGAGCACAAATAACCTGTTTGCTGTATGATATGACATGGGTTGCGAGGGAAAAAGTCTTGCCCGTCACATGCGCGGTGCGTACGAATTGAAGTGCGCGTACGGTATTAATACTGTGGATTATCGGCAGCGGCAAGGTTTCAGGATTGGAAGAGGAACAAAATTTTGATGATTCACCATGTCTGGGACGGCGGATAGGCGAGCAGTCTGTTGTTGTCGGGCCTTTGCTGCGCGGCCGCTAAGGGAGGTAGCTGTAAGTACGCGAGTAGAAAACAAAATAGGACCCGCATCTTTGCTATCACTATGCACAGTCAGAGGGCCGGTCAAACGCAACGGGCTGGCAGCGAGTTAAGGGCAAGGCGAGAGAAGGACGTGTGGCGGCCTAGTGATGCACTGATAGGTGCACTTGGAGTTGTATACATGGGTGGTCGAGGATAAGCAAACAAGCGAACGGTACGGTGGTGGGTGGAGGGGGTGCCGCAAAGCACCGGATTACCCCATTGGGCCGGCATGTCAAACATTCGCAATATGGCTTCATTGTGTTGAGCAGGCACGTAATATGGACAGCGCGGTGGGATGGTGTGAACGAGTACAGTAGACCTAGCTAACAAGTAAGGGGAGCGGCGCTACCAGAGGCAGCCCATGGCCATGGCGGTGCAGCGTGGGCCTTGATGGGTGTGGGAGTGGCTCGGAGCGCCATTTGCTGGAGGAGTGTGCAGCGCAGTGCAGGGCAGAGCAGAGCGTGATGGCTACGGGCGCAGGATTGGCCACTACGACGACTCTACTCACACCGGACGCGACGGAGCCTGAGTCTGAGGCAGCGTGGTGGATGCGGGTGGGGGGTTGCAGGCAGCGCCCAGACGGCGGCGGCATTGCGTGCTGGAATGCTATCACGGCAACGGCTCTGTCGTGATGGCTATCACGAATCGTTCCCCACACACCCAAGCAGCTGTATCCCGACGGTGCAACTAGGGCCGTTGTCGTCGTCAATCGCAGCGTTCTAGAACTGGGCGTGGGTTTTGCACAGGCCGGGCTCGTAATTACTTATTGACCGCGTCGTCCCCCTCCTGCTCTGGTGGCCGTCGTTATCATTTCTGTTATCAGCTCCCGGGACCGTTGCTTGTTCCATTGCCGCTGAAAGCCGCTGGCCTCGAGGAAATACTCGGCTCTGTCTCTCTCGTCCTCTCCCCCTCAAAGCAAAAGCCCGCCAGCCCGCCAGCCCACACAGCCCCAGCCCCAGCCAGTGTTCCACCCTCCCGTCGGCAGCCCTGCCCGCAGATCGCATCCGGACCGGCGACGACTCCTTCAGTGTAAGTACATACATATACATAAGTCATTGCTTCTTTTTCTTCGGGCATGACGCAGCTGCCCATTCATTTTCCTGTCCTCGTCACCTCCCATACACCACACACACCCACACACTGCTGCCCTGCTGCCCGATGACGGCGGTTCTGCGCGCCAATTCGTATTAGATAGCAAGTCCTAATATCGTTGTTCCTGGCTAAGTCGATGGCGCAGTGCACAAGGCGATAAGGGGTTCTAAACAAAGCCACGCACGAACCTTCCGTCATATCAGCCAGCCTGGGAACTGGGCGGCCGGTGTCACCGCTTCTTTCGCTTGGTCGTCTTCAGCCTGTAAAAATATCGCGCACCGTGCGCGATTATCAACTCGCTGGCATTTAGCCCTTTTAAACTTGTTCCGCCTCCACCATGGCCACGCATCACGTTCGTCACCTGTCCCATCAATCCAAGAAGTCGCAGCCCACGCACGCACGGCCCTCTCGGCCTCTGTCAAAGCGCGTGCAATCCCACGGGACCAAGGCTGCTTCCAAAGTCGCTCTCTCCAAAGACGCCGACCTCGCCGTCGACGACGACGACGACGACGAAGACTCAATGGCAGTGAGCTTCTTGAACTACTGGTATGTTACTTGACTTACCCTCTACTCCACTCTTTGCTATCCACAGTATACTAACCCACCCATGCAGCACTGTTTGCGAGAAGCAAATTGTTGTTCCAAGCAACACCGTGCTCTACTGCTCAGAAAGGTATGATAATGGCACCCTCGTCCTGTCAGCCCCATCGCGCACAGACCACTTTGCTGACCTGTATACACAGCTGCAAGAAAAAAGACGCGGAGAAAAGCCTCAACTACTACTACGATCATTACTCTCCGCCAGCCACTCCTTTCGCAAACTTCACCTTTGACGACCTTGCCTTCCGTGACATTGTTCCCCAGCGCTCCCCTACTCAGCCCGACTCAAAACGCTCGTCATGTGCCTTCTCCGACGTATCCTCGGATGATAACACCGATGACCGCTACCAGTCCGATGCATCAAAATACCTGCGCAAGTTTCAATCGGCACCCACTTATGCACCTGATAACATGCGCGCCTACCGACCTCGCTACAACCGTGCATCAACATCACAGTACAGCACTAGTGCTGCCCCTTCGCTGTCACATACTCCGGCCTCTTCAGTAAGCTACTCGCTGCCATATACACCTGCTACCACGCGACCTCTTCCTCCCAGGACCAAGCCGTCCCGCAACGGATCATATGGAGGAGGAAAGTCGATTGATCTTGTCACACCTGTGACGGCACCTTCAAGTCCCAAGTCGTACTCGCACAAGTCACCCGCCGTATCCAGGACTTCGGTCAGCACCATCGAAGGCGAGATTGTCTACGCAAAGTCACCCGTTCCCGAACCCTCGGTTGCCAGCGGTAGTCTTGGTCGACTACTTGCCGCATCACCTCGCCACGTCTAGACACAAACAAATGTTTATTTCTTTCCCATGTTTTTTCCCTTTTTTAAAACATGGGCCTTTTGTTACGCTCTTTTTTTTTATAATAGATACCATGACCGTAAGGTTTTTGATCTGCTATGCAGGCCGTAGCTGTTTGAGATGTATGGAAACGCAAACACCCATGACATCTCTCTCACTCCTCAAAAGTTCTACCAGCAATATACCAAGAATTGTTTTTCCCATCCTTCTTTGGTGGTTTTGTTTTCGATTTGCCATAGATACCTTTTGCGTTTGCTACCTTGGAAAGGGGGGAAAGGGTAGTGATTTACGATGACTAGGGAAAGGAAGGGACCGGTCGAAGTAGACTTAGATAGCTTGGTGACCCAAATAACACACCATGTACGTCACCCATACACTTTTGGTCTTGTTCGCATCCTCTTGCTCTCTCTCTCTCTCTCTCTCTCTCTCGCACTCCTTTTTCTTGCCTTGCCTTTGCCTTTGCCACATGTAATGACGTTTGATGACGCCCTCATCTGCCACGTCCACGACCCGAGGACATGGTTATGACAAAAGAGGGATCTTCCTTGCCCCCTTCCCTATTCTTCTTTTTCTCCGCCCTTCTAGATCCCACATCTATGCAAATCATCTTGCTCACCGATATCATGGGGGAGGCTTTTTTTTGTACTTCAATACGAACGTTTAAAACCTACTCTAGAGTATAATCCTTTTCCGGAGAAAGGCTTAGATCCAGTGGCGCATGCGTTGCCAGGTTTCCACTACTTTAGGGGGGAAGAGGGGGGTTTTTTTTTGCCCTGCCTCTCAGCTCTCTCTCTCTCTCTCACACACACACACTCCCTTTTGAGTGTGGAGGTTAGTACGATGCGGCTAAGTCATTAGCTAGAGCGTTAGACTTTCAGCCTCATTGCCTCCGGACCCCCCTTTTGGTTTATCCGACTCCTTATCTTGGATGCAAGGTTCTTGTCTCGCGTGATTGACGGTGGTTTCTATGGCAATAGCGCGGTCATGCAGGAGAGTTAGGCATGCTGGATATATTGGTTTTCTTTTTTTTAGAAACGATGAAACGATACCTGGGGTAACGACAACGGGCGCGAAGGGTAAGTAAGGGGGGGGATGCGCTAGTAGAGTGGCTTACGCTATTCATGTGCAAATCACATGTACTTGAATGTATAGCCCAGTAAAGTATAGGTCCTGGTAATGTTTGTATGTTGCAACAGTGCTCTAGATAAGAAGGAGAAAGCTCGGGTGAATACAACAACGTGCACTTGGGTTAGTTCGGAGTACAGAATACCTCGGTAGACAAAGTTAGATAGGCACTTGATAAACTGTATTCACATGTGCAATGCTTAGCCTTATCGTATAAGGATCCCATGCATGTGCATCATTACAGGTAGAATAACGTGTATGCACACGCTACGTATCAGTGCGGAGAAACGATCCAGGGATCAGGGTATGAGCATGTGAGGGTGGGGTGGTGATCTGTCATGCAGGTAACCTTTTACGGGCAATGCATCAACTTGCTTCTTTGATGAATTAAGCATTGCTAGGCTTGGCTTGGTGAAAGCTTCGCAGCTGCGTGATGCTCTTTGTACCAATCGAGATTGGGTGGTCTGGTTTCTTGGGTATGCGTTGTTTCTTGCGTGGGCTTGTTGCTTTTTTGCTACGTCAACGGTCTGATTACTTTTTTTCTCTCTCGCATTTGGTTTCTTTTTCTGCTGCAGTGGTTTGTTGGCTGAGACTAGAAGAACTTTGGGTTGTTTTGATTTGCGAGTGTAGAGGTCAGTGACTGTTTTTTGGGTTATCTCATCATGATACGTGTCTCCAGTTATCTTTTTTTTCTTTTCTTTTCCTTTGTGCCACCTGTAATCGTTCGGTGGCTAGGTTGAGTGCACTTGCAATCGCTCTCAGAGAATAGAGAGATTCGATATCCGTTCTGGTTCCACTAGCTATTCGTGTTCCTTCTTATTTCTTCTTTCGCACAAACCCGTTCAAATTGCCCCTAGATTTGCTCTCGGGAATTCCTATATTTTCAGTTGCTCTTCTGACTCAGACACGAAGTATAAAAGATCATCTTAGAATTCATTTTTTTCATTCTCCAATCCAAACCCGACTTGTTCGCGGCTTTTATGGTAGTCAAATCCATATCACATTGCAATTCGAACAGATCATTTCGTGAGTAAGTATATTACTATTTCGATTACGTTACCAAGGAGTGTGTGTATACAGTAAACGCCATTGTATGCTGTATGAAGCAAGCGCCATGCCAAGTATTTAAAAGCCAATATAAACATTATCGCATATTCATCGTCATCCTCAACTCTCCGCCTCTTCTATTTTTTTTCGTGTAATGGTTGCGCAACAGTCATGATTTAAAGACCGCAGTTGCTGACAGCGACCTGCTGGTACTGAGCGTCGATGCGGCCGAGGGCAGCAGCCTGGCCATTGGTGAGCTGGTTCATGGCAGCCTGGGCAATGTTGAAGCCGGCGCCAGTGTGGTCCATAGCAAGGACGTAGATGGTCTTGCCGTTGTAGGTGAGACCGTAGCAGGTACCGCACTGAGGGCTGTTCCAGCCAGCAATGCCTTGGTAACCACCGATGAGAGGGAAGCGGGGAAGGTTGCCCTGGGTGGGGAAGCGAGCAACCAGACCGTTGGCACCGTCAGAGCAGGAGACGACGTTCATGGAGCGGCTGGCGTCATCGTAACCGGTGTCGTAGCTGACTGTGAGGAGTTAGTACTCAAGTTTTTATAATACTCTGTAGGAGTAGTACTGACCAGTGATGGCGGAAGCCATGCTGGAGAAGCCGAGAACGGCGGCGGAGACGGCAGAGAAGAACTTCATGGTGATGGTGTTGGGTGGGTTTGGTGATTAGATTAAGGTGGAGAGTTGAGGCGTAGAGTTGAAGAGTGGTTATTAGATCTTGTAGTGATGGAAGCTGAGCGTTGGTGATGAGACTTTGGACGAGTGACTTGCATGTCCTTTATAGCAATGAACAACACGATGCCTCCACTCTACCACTGTCTAGCTTTCCGCTCCTCCCCGTTCCATGACTAGCAAATGCCCGTTACATTGATGGGTGGGCACGGGCGGTGCAGGGCGAAATGCAAGCAAGCTGCTAGGTCTAGCCTACCTTTTCCACTATACTAACTGCAACAGTACGACCATCTGACCATGGAGTGGCGGGATTTGTAGAAAAATAGATGAATGAGATCATAGCGTACAATGGACACGAGAGTTGCTGCGGAGAAAGGTAGTATTTTTGGATGACCCGCAGCGGGAATGGCTTGCGCTAGCTGAGATGAGCAGGACAAGCGAGCTAGACAGCCAAAGTTATCGGATGGATGCATTGTGTCTTGCCACAACAGGCATCCATTGCCAGCGATCAATAAAATGATCCTGCACCCCACCTGCGCTCGTGGCGCATTCACGACTGCCTCCCGGATGCGATCCAGTGCTATCTCTCAAAAAGGGGTCTCTTCGGCTCTTAACAAGCGGCGGGAGGCAACGGTAGGGCGAAATACGGGGACAAATACTACACTGTACGTGTCATGGCTATACGACTAATGCTTACTACCAGCGATGGTAACGTGGTACTACTGTGTGGTAAGATACGTTGTTGAATGCTATTGTTGGACGGCGGACTGACTTGCCGTGGCCAAGCCTACTATAGCTGCTAGCAACGGCACCCTTGGAAGACCTTCCCCATCCTCACCGCCGAAAGCTAACTAGGAAGTAAACCCTCTGGATCGCACGGATGGGCGCACGCCCTGTGTGCAGCCTTGTTTTCAGAAGTCGGTGGAAGATTCTCCTTCTCGTGATGGTGGATCCATATATACGGGCTTCCTCGTATCAATACCCTCTCATTCCCCTCGGCTTCCGTATAGTGCAGTGCAGTCAGAATCCCGACTTGTGACCTTGTTCTGCTACCAACAAACACAACGTGAGCATATGGTTCGACAACACGTGTAGTCTTGCCATTCGACATGTTCGGCCGATGTCAGGTGTTGTTGTGGCCCGGACGAGAAGCTCTGCGTTCTGTCGCATGTTCCGCAAATCCCGCGGATTTCCTACGTATGGAGCAACGGCTGGCATTTATCACTTGCGACGGCCTGGCAGATATGTATCTACGCATGTAGTTGGTATATGCGCTCTAGAGACGGCAACGTTTAACTTGAGCCGTTGTCATGCCCGTCGAATTGCATGTCATCCAGATGGCAGCCGTTTGTGTGTCCGTGCGCAGGCATCCAAAACATCTTCTGTTCCATCATCGTTCACGGCCAGGTTTCATCCCTTGGTCAGAAACATGACTGCCGCGAAAAGCAGCGCTTACGCATCTCGACTTGCGGTACTTGTTGGCCCTCAAACTGCCACAGCCACACGGCCACGCGCCCGAAAGGCATTTCAGAGCGGCAAGTGGCTGAATTGAAGCGCCGAAGGGACCAGTAGCCATGCCCTGCGCCCACCCCTATGTTTCCCCAGAATCGTGTTTAGATGGCTGAGGCGCTAAGAAAAGGATGCCTTTGTGACGCCTGGGGTTTCGAAGGCTTCATGCCCTTGACTGCGCAGGCCGACTTTCCCGCTTCGTGGGCGGCAACTGTTTCCACCTCCATGCTATATAACCTTCGCAAATGTGCTCATCTCTTGACTTCTCTTGGTAGGCAGGTCCACGTTCTTCAATTCTCAGTACCAATTACATTCCATCTCATATCCCAACTCTTCTCACGCATTATCTTAATCACCAAAACGAGCTAGTCTCTTTTCATCTCAACCAATCATAATGCATTTCTCCACCATCTTCACTGCTTCCGCCATGGCTGGCGCCGCTCTCGCCGCCGAGCACACCGTCGCCGTTGGTGACAAGGCTGGCAACCTCGTCTTCAAGCCCGACAGCATCACAGCCGCTGAGGGTGACACCGTCATCTTCAAGTTCTGGCCCAAGAACCACTCTGTCGCCCAGGCCGCCTTTGCCAACCCTTGCCAGCCCATGAACAACGGCTTCTGGTCCGGATTCGTGCCTACTTCCGATGCTGAGAAGGTTGCCACGACCACTTTCACATACGAGGTTACCAACGCTTCGGCTCCCGTCTGGTTCTACTGCACCCAGGGCATGCACTGCCAAAACGGCATGGTCGGTGTCATCAACCCTCCGTAAGTCACAATTCTTATTGTTTTACAAGTTCCCCTTCACTAACATTGTTTAGTCAATCTGGTGCCAGGACTCTCGACGCTTTCAAGACTGCTGCAAAGGCTGCCACTGGCAACGTCTCACCCGCATCCACCGCTGGCACTGGCGGCAACCTGACTGAGAGCGACAACAGCACATCAACTTCACCATCTGGCTCACCTTCTTCCTCATCATCCGCATCCGCACCACAATCAACCGGTGCTGCCTCTCACGTTGCTGGCAGTGCCCTGTTCGCTGGTCTGGCTGGTGCCTTTACATTCTTCATGCTTTAAGCGACCGATACAAGAGTGCAAAGCATATTTGATACCCTCATCAGCATATCATAGAACAGCAGACGTCTTAGGTGCGGCCGGTTATACGCATCATGACAATCAAAAGCCACTGGTGGCTAGGAGTGAAGAGATGAAGAAAGAGAATGGGATTATTTCTTGGTAGTAATTATCTGAGTTTTGAATGAACAAACGTATACTCCATCTATATATGCTTTCCGAATCCTGCGCCGTTATAATGTGACCGTTGACATTTGAGTTTCCGGACTCGACGATCATTTCTCTTAGTCCGAGAAGGCGTGGATAATCTATGATCTACAGGTTCTGTTAGCAACAGCCCATAAACTCTATCAAGACAGCATGTGTATATGTGAAGCAGATCAGACATCCAAGGAAGGTATTCGCGCTCATTGACCATCTAATGTAGGTTCAATCGATGGCTAGCGTGGAAACTGCGAATGTGGAATGGTTTTCATCATGGTGCAGGGGCGGGGAATTGGAAGGAAAAACAGTGAAACTTACGAAAGCAGCTACAAAGCGCGAAGGTGCTGGTGTTAGTTGGCCCGCGTTGAGACGCGAAAGGCGACATGCAGTTTGTTGGGAGAAGATGAAGAAGAGCTGATCTTGTATCGAGCTGGACGAAGCTAAAAACTTTAAAGTGGGCCCGGCACCATGTTTTGCCGGACCCACTTATCCCCTCTTGGCGATCGGATAGAAGCAATCCAAACGATGGCTACTAAACATCTCGTTTTGCGACTTAGTAATTTGTTTATATCTTTGTTTTCACTATGTGAGAATTGAACAAGACTTGCCAAGGTCTACACCTCAAATGAACCGCGCGGAAGCTGAAGTTCTTGTTTTCCTTCCGTCGCCCTTGGCAAAAGCATCAAGATGTTTTCAAACAGGTACCGATTATATTGTTGCCTTTGCTGAAATAAAGTCATGGGATCCATCACCAAGATTAACAAAGCTCGATACATTTTATATCACATTTGGGCGGAAGAGACTCTTCCCTGATGACAGGGATGCAATAGTTCTACTATCCTATGCTCAACTATGGGCATAGTCTCATCGTGGGGTTGCGTTGATAATCGCACTCAGTCTTCAAGGCTCATCCTAGTAGAGCATAATGGTATATCTTTTTATAGTCTGATATTTTCTAAGGCGAGCACTCGCCGAATTCTTATGGACATGTCAAGTTGTTGTTACACGTAAAATTGGTATCCATGCCTTAATATTGTATCCATGCCGCTATTTATAGTAATTCGATACTACATTTTAATCTGTTCCGGTCAAACAGCAATTATTGGATACTCGTTGAGTACATAATTTCCACATTTTCCAGTCCAGTGCCAGACTTGTACAAGTGACTTTAGCTCCCAGCGCGTGCCGACTAGAGTTTCGCACTAGAGGATACTTAGCAGATGTACGAGCGCGTTGGCGACTGAAAAGGTGACATTCGCATCCGGCGTGCAATGGCGCGTCGGGTAGGTCCACGAGAGGGATTTATGCAGGCTTCATGCTATAAGATCATAGCAAATCCGTCGCTCGGTGACGGTAAGCTGTGAAACAAAAAATGAATGCTCATGAAGTGCGACAAGAATACTGTTCAGATTACAGCATGCTCACAGCTACGTCTAGTGTTCAGATCCGGGATGAGGGAGGTAGCGTGGAAAACGGGTTATCTCCACTTTTATTTCAAAAATTTATAAAAAATTCTACGCTAATCCAAATTAGGCAAGTAGTAGTTTATTTTAAAGCGCTAACTAAGCGCATTCTATCATGTAATACATTACTAAGTGGTATCTCTAATAGTTAAAGAGTTATTTAGCAACCCGATTTTATAACCCTAGGGTTAGGTTAACAGTCGGGTTATCTAACAAACTTTTTCGTTTTTTAACTTTAAAAACTTAGCTATTAGAGATAGAGCTTAACTTTCTACTAGAAACTTATAGCTCTAGGTTTAAGCTTTAAAATAAGCTACTACTTACCGACTTTAGACTAGTATCCGCTAAGATATTTAATAACCCGACTTAAATACCCGTTTACCAGCCTAGAGGGAGGTCTATTTCGTGCTGCGAGGACAGCACCGGGCTACGAACTTCAAATCTTACGAACATACAAAAAGTTGAACTCAAGTACATTTGTAGAATTATCGATTCATGGCTGTAGGTATGTGGTTGAAGAAGCAAAGCTGGTACCACTGCAGCTGGTGAGGTTGAGTCAGTTGCGATCCGTCCCAAGCTGCGTCTGATTCGGCCGCAGATGAACCGAAGTGACGCGCAATAAGCAACACCAAGAAATGTGGAGTCGAACGCGACGGCTCATCCAAGGAAGACGAGAATCCGTCACCCTAATCCCAACAGTCCCTTCCATCCCAAACACCTTAGTCTGGTCCCAATCGTCCTGGCAGTTTTGCCTGAACGTCGACCTGCCTCGGTGTTTACCCAGCACTGTTCATCGCAGCAGCTCGTGCTTATCAGCTTGTGACTTTCGTTTTGCTACCTTGCCCACGTCTAACTACCTCTCTCGACGTTCGAACCGACTTGCCCTTCGCCACTATGAAGCTTCCTCCGATTGCAACAGCCTGCCTCTCCGCGCTCGTAATAGACTCTTGCAGCAACATTATCGCGCAACGCCTCAAAGCATGGAACGAATCCAAGCCCTTCGTCTTCGACCGTGTCCTCTTTACACAATTCGCCATCATGGTCGTCCTCACTGCACCAGTAAACTATCATTGGCAGAACTGGCTTGAGCGTGCGTTCCCCGGGTGGAAGACGGTGAAACAAACAAGGGCAGTGGGAGATGGTGAGGAGGAAAAGGGCATCATGCTCAAGGAGGATGGAGATGGTCGCGGTATCGTCGAAGAGGAGGTCAGGGTGCGGAATTGGTGGAACATCTTTAGAAAATGGTTTACCGATGTAGGTGGTCACAAATGACTCGCCGCAGCGTAGTCGCTACAAGAATGGCTAAGTGCTAACGATATGCAGTGTATCACCATGGGCGCGTTGCTGAACCAGTCAATGTTCCTTATCTTGATTGGAATCATGAAGGGTAAAACCGTGGCATTGATTGCCCAGGACTTTCGAAATGTATGTTTATCAACACATGAGCCCCACTGCTGCAGATTACTAACTGCTCATCAGGAGCTTTTTGGCCTCATCTTCGATTCGTACAAAGTCTGGCCAATTGCCAACTTCTTCAGCACCACGTTCATTCCCGTTGAGCGCCGTATCGTCTTCCTGAGTTTCTGTGGTCTACTGTGGAACATCTACCTATCATTGGTAGCGGCGCGGCTCTAGATATTCTCTAATCCGAAATACATCTGCTGCTCTGCAACATGCTACGCCATCGATCTTATGCGCTCACCTCGTTGATGGCTACAAATTACATCTGGGCCCCTGCTTCCAGGCCGCTATCACCGCAGCCCAATACTTCTCCTCATCCTCCCGTACATGCCCGCAATGCGCACTATTCTCAAAATGCACTTTCGTCACATCCCACCCCTTGGACTTTGCAATATCCGCATGCTCATCTGCCTCTTCAAACCCCACCATCGTATCCGCACGACTATACAGATACACTCTCGGCACGCGATTATCAAAAACATTCTCATCATTCAATTCCCGACAGATGACAACCATCTTGTTCTCCTTGCGTCGCACAAAAACAACTATCCACGTCAACAGAATCAAAACATGTACCAGCGCGCCGCCAAACCACTGCCAAAACAGCGTCTTGGGCAACGACGCGGAAATCGCAGCATGGCTCTTCATCCAGGGACCTTTAGTCGGACTCGAATCGAGAATCTGCGCGCGCATCGGCATCTTGGTGCCAAACCTCTTGTGCCATGCTTTGGCAAATTCATTGACTTGGTTCCCGCCGCCGTTGGAGAAGCTGTGCACGAGGACTTGGCCGCCGGCATCGGCGTGCGCGGCTACAACGTCCAGAGCGGGTTTGAGCAGAGGTCCGTAGGCCGAGGAGCGGCGGAAAATGTCGAGTGTGTAGCATCGGACCAGCAGGATGCGGGATGTGGGGAAGTGCTTTTGATATGCTATTGTGTATTTGGCGATGTGCTTTGCGGCTGCGGCGTTCCATGCGAAGAGGAGTATAAGCGGGGTTTCTGAGGGTGAGTTGGAGAGGTAGGATTGTGAGGTCCAGATGTAGATGTTGTGGCCGATCTTTTCAAATTCCGAGAGAGGCTTGACAGGCTCTGAGGGGGTTGGGGGTGTTGGAGTTGCCATGGCTGTGGATATGTAGTGTTGGGAGTTTTAGATGGATGAAATAAAAAGTCACGTGTGGGGTTTGCGCTGGTCTATTGATGGTTCCCTGTTTTCTGTGTATCTAGTATAGATGCAATGTGTTCCTAGCAGGTCTAAGATGGATGCCTGGAGGCCTTTGTATCGGCGTCTCGCTACTATCTTGGCGTGAAGGATCCAAGGCCGAGGTTACGGTACTATAATAGTAGCAACACCATTGGCCCATCTATCTTACTACTTGCATTTCATGCTGTATGAGTTCTCTCACGTGCTCCAAATCGACATCCTGATTGTTTGTTGCTTACTCGGAAGAATCGCTTGTAATGATGGCTTTTTAGGCACCAGTGTTATTTCTACCCATGAACCAAGTGAGCCCAGAGCTGACCACCGCACCTGCCTGTGCAGCCCCAGCAGCGAGACCAGCGCCATATCCTCCCATGGCAGCACTCTGTGCCAGAGCATACACCCCGCCTGCCGGGACGTAGCCGAAATAGCTCATTGTAGATGCGGCGAGCGAACCTGTCGTCTATTAGAATAGGGCACCAGTACGAGTTCGGGCCAACGTACCACCGGCAGGTCCTAGAGCAGTCAACCCAAACGCAGCGAAGATAGGTGCAGTGGCGGCAGCAGGCGCAAGAAGAACCACGCCGTTGACTGTGTAGAGGACTGCTTGACCCGGGTGTGCTGCAGCCCAATCGATGAGAGGCTGCGCCGTAGCCGCAACGGAAGCGACTGTCACGTTGACCATGACGAACTTGGATATCGGAAACTGTTTTAAGTGGTAGAAGGTAAGAGTCGCGTTGATAGCTCCAACCAAAGACGCGGAGAATATCAGTTCTTATCAAACAAGATAGTGTTCACCACAAGGCTGAGGCCAGCCTTTCAGCCTTGGTGAGGGGTGAATGCGTGACGCCGCATTTAGTTGGCGGCAAGCATGACGCCACATTTGTTCAGCCTTGCCACCGCAAAGACCATTCCAGCATACTCTATTTCTCTAACATACTAGTGTACATGACGTTATGCTCAGTGGCGGCCTCTACGCCACGCCGCTACTGATGAGAGGATAGCTCCAGCCCGCACTACAATATCAACACTACTCACACCGTTGCCGCCCATAGCCCCACTCTGAAGCGTTAAATACAGATTCTGTGCGGAGTATTTATCTTTGATTCGCATCCATGCTGAGGCTGTTGAATCTGGGCTCTGTCAGTAGGAATATGTAAAATTAATACAAGGGTGCCAGACCTTTGCGAGGCCCTCTTTGCTCGAAGCCTAATGCCCAGAAGGTGGGTACAGTGAATATCCTTGGTTCAAGCAAGATGGCGCCATTTACGGCGTATACTATGGTTTGGTAAGGATGTACGCGAATTAGGCTAAGCAGTGTATTGCCTGGTGACATGGTTATGGGTCCGTAAGGAAACGAATGGTGAATGAATAGGATTTATCGTCAATGACGAAAAGGATGCCCCGTATGACTCAACCCCTCGTAGGTGAGAAGAAAAATTGAGAGCACTGAACAAGTAAAGCTGAAAGTTGAAGGTTGGAAGGGTGGGCGGCTAATTGTGCACTTTGATGCGGCACAGTTACATGGACATACAGTCCTCTGACGACCAATTATCTGAGCCAAGGCTATTTGCATTGATACAGGGCGGATTCAGGGCGCATATTGCTTCCCAATATATTGATTTCTGTACTACCAAAATCCTTCCAATAGTTGGGGACAAGGTGGAGATGTTTTAATCTAGTAGACGATGGCTTAAGGTTACTCTGACTTGGGAGACAGTTATGATGACAATGTCATTTGCGACTTTTGGTTAATGTAATTATGTGACGACTATTTGCTGGAGCAGTTCTAAGTAAATGAAGAAGAGGACTACGCAATACCGTTTCGTTCTGGATATTGTTTCGTGACTCCAAATTCTTCGTCTCTCTCCATATCCACCGCTCTCCTTTCCTCTATCAAAAAATCGTTCTTTGCTGCTTCCACATTGTATTTTCATTTCCTTTTATGTTCTGTTAACCTCACGACTTACGAGGCGTAAGATATGTCTGTCAGAAGCCCTTTCACATGACAGGAAACGGTGCGATGATTATACAAATCCATAAACGGTTTTTGTTCAAAAAAAAACAAGTGCTTAATATACGAACTCTTCTTCTGGTATAGCTTTCCTTTGAAGTGTCTTGGGAAGAGTTAGAATGTTGTATACTTGATCTAGTCTGCGACACGATAAAGCCTGCGCATGCAAAAGTTATATCACCAATACCAGTTAAATACTGGGCTCGCATAAGTGTTCAACTACTCGTGTTGGTAGAAACAAGACTGACTTTCCAATCGACATATTGGTTTTGATCAGCATCACATGCAGAAAGGTGAAAGGACAAGATGGAAGTATTTAGGTATTGTTTACTATAATTATGTAGGAAATCGTCCTCAGAGGATCAAAGGATCTCGTATAGGGTCCTGCCACAACCGTCGTTTTCTTCTATGCCAGATTCGATTCGTTTGCGTCGTTACTGACTGCCGTCTGGATTTTACTGCCGTCGCTGGTGGGATATCTGGGACTTTGGGAACAGCAGACACTCCATCACCGCCTTTCCTGCTCAACTTGAGCGATAGTAGTATGAACACACCTGCAATGAGAATGGCAAGCAGCAGCATGATCTTGCGCTTTATACTTCGTCTCTGGTACCCGGAAGCTACCTTGAGCTCCTTGTCTGCCTCTTTGACATCTCTGAACATGTTTTCGACGTTGTAGTCTATTCGGTCCAGCATACTGCCTTGGTCGATGACCATGGTCTGGAGCTCTTGGAAAATATTTGCCAGCTCGATAATGCCTTGGGCAATGTCCTCGATCTCACGCTCCCGCTGAGCTATCAAAGCTTCGTTAGGGTCGTGGCGCATGCGCTGTTGTTTCGTTTGGAGTAGTGTGGATTGAGAGAAGGAACGGTCGGCATCGGATTCTTGTAGCGCAGGGTCATTGTAGGGATTCTGTACCGGCGTGGCAGAGCGGAAGGGCGAAGTGAAGCCTCCGAGGTCGCGGAGTTCTAGGGAAAGACATCAGCATGACATGTAGCATAGGGCAAAGGAACAGTCTCACTTTTCAGATAGGCGGCCTGTTTCTTGCGAAACATGGCGCTCACTTCGCCGACACGCGAGGCAAGCGAGATCTTGAGGTTCCGGGCCATGACCTCTTCACCCTGGTTGATGCTGCCCTGCTGCTTGGCCTCGCGGACCATGATGTCTATGCGCTTGATGGCCTGTTGGCATTTCTGGAAAAGGCGGGTGATGGCCTGGGTGATTTGCTCAATCTCGCGCTCCTCGCGCTTCTTGACATCCTCATCATCAAATCCGGGAAGCACGTGCTTCTGGTGTAGCTGGTCGAGCTTGCGCGTCTGCTTTGCTATTTCAGCCAGGTGCTGGGTGACCTCGTCCTGCATGTCAAGCCAGCGCGGCGGCAGCAGGTCCATCTCTATAACGGCATCGCCGTCGTCCTCGAAGGCTGGGATGAGGCCCTGGCGCTCCTCGGACATGCGCCTGCTGTCGCCAAAGCCATTGGAGCCGGGGACACCATAGCGCGTCTTCTTCTTCTGGGGGTGGTGGGAGTACGACTGGCGGTACGAGATAAAGCTAAGTGGCTACGTCAGCAGCAGCGAGGCAGCGTAGCTTTGGCGACGTACAGGTTGGTCCGGTCCCGCCACATGATGGGCTGGCGAGGGTCAACGGGGCTGTGTCATGGTAGGGCTCCAGGCAGGCTGTGTATAGCGGGTGTGTAAGTACTTATGCAGTCTGGACGTATGGACGTACGGCGGCCAAGGCAGCGGTGGGCGAGGGTGGACGGGCGTTTGATATGAGGCGCATGCAATCGTGGCCGTGTGTCTGGGCAGTGGTTGTGCAACGGGGGCGCTTTGCCTGAAGCGGCAGCGAGCGGCCCCTTCCCAACAGCGAGGCGGCACTAGGCCGGCTGGCTGACAGTCCAGCTCCACTTCAGCCCATCTTCTCCAGCCGCAAACACGCCTAGAGACCTCCTTCACACCGCACCTGCGCCCTCTGTTATATATCGCCAGTTGGCTCCCATCCAGGCACCCCCCTAATTGAGTTCCTGACCACCACCAACCCATCTTCCCACCTCCACCACCCGCACCCCTCCTAGCAGCCATGGTCTGTAGCCCCGCGCTTCCTCGCTTTCTGCCAAAACATACCCCGCCCTCCTATACACAACTGCGGCCCCCCGCCCACGCCCCCATCGCGCATCGCTGACACGACACTCTAGGCCGATTCCCTTACTGAGGAGCAAGTCTCCGAGTTCAAGGAGGCGTTCTCCCTCTTCGTAAGTCTCTACCCCTCCCCTCGTCAGTGACGCGCGGCTGCCTAGCATTCCGTCCATGGCCTCGTGGACATGTTGCTAACATGTGTTTTCTTGTGCAGGACAAGGATGGCGATGGTCAGTACCCCCTGTGCCCAATCCACGCTCGCATGCTCTGCGCCGAAGCCACTACCCCTCGATACAAACAGGACACGAGGCTGACCACGTTGCGCCATAGGCCAAATCACCACCAAGGAGCTCGGCACCGTCATGCGCTCGCTCGGCCAGAACCCCAGCGAGTCTGAGCTTCAGGACATGATCAACGAGGTTGATGCCGACAACAATGGCACCATTGACTTCCCAGGTACGTCGGCCTGCCGACTCTGAGCCCATTACGGCCTCGCTGACGTAATGCCAGAATTCCTCACCATGATGGCCCGCAAGATGAAGGACACCGACTCCGAGGAGGAGATCCGGGAAGCCTTCAAGGTCTTTGACCGCGACAACAACGGCTTCATCTCCGCTGCTGAACTGCGCCACGTCATGACCTCCATTGGCGAGAAGTTGACTGATGACGAGGTTGACGAGATGATCCGGGAGGCCGATCAGGACGGTGACGGCCGTATTGACTGTAGGTGTTTTTTGGCATTTATGATTGGGAACCTACCAGACTAACACGAA